TAGATTGATCAGTTTTGCTGAACTATGAAATATTTTGGGTGCAGTGTATTTTTTACATACAGGTATAACAGAATAGCTTTAGTGTTGTTGTTTATTTAAACTTGAGCTTATACAAAATGCAGCAAGATATTTAAAAAAACAGTTTTATTGATATTGGCCGATATCCAAATTTATGATATCGTATCGGTCCTAAAAAAGTGGTATCGTGCCATCTCTAATATATATATTTAAAAAGTTTAGACATTGAGTCTCAAGTTATTCTGTATCACATTATTTTATCCAGAGACATCATACTTTACCAAACTTGTTTTAATCCTTCCTTAAATCATCTCAAAATTCTAAAATCCTTCTTCATTTTTATTTTACTTTTATCCATTTTGAATTTTAATGATGTCTCTTTCAAATGGCTTCATGGCATCAGTCTCCTTGTGGAAAAGTTTGTGTCTCAAGTGTTATGTTTATGAAAGAATTTAATTGCCCTGAAAGTACAGTTTTACCCCTGAATATGTGATTACATGTGTGATTAATATGTGATTACAAGCCCAGAACAGTGAACAGCTCGCCCGCCTGTCCTGACGATGTGTTTTAATGAAGCTCTGTGTGACGGCATGAGTTTAAATGGGAGCGCTGTGTGTGACTCATCTTTATTGTTTAATAGGTCAGTACGAGTCTGTCAATCTCCTTAGCGTGTGTGAATTAGGCTCCGAGGAAGTGAGCAAACACAAACAGCTTTAAGGCTCAGGTCCAAGGACACAAGACCACAAACGCTCCAGTGTTTTACCTCGACCTCAGCCATGTGACCCAGAACAGCACAGAGCATGCTCCTCTGCTGTGAGTAAAGAACTGAAGGTTCCTCTGATGAGGGCAAGAGGTGATGTCTGGTTTTCTGAGTAGTGATGCTCTGAGGCAGCGCGCTACAGAGTAAAGATGTAGAGTGCTGTGAAAAAGTATTTGCCCTTCCTGATTTGTTTGTTCATTGTTTCTGTTTTGTTTTGTCATATTAGACAAGGCTAACCTGAGTAAATTTAAAATACAGTTTTTGAATGATGATTTTATATATTTGGGGGGGATGGGGTTGTACATTACCAAAATGACTCTGAGAGGGCATCAACGCCTCATCCAGGAGGTGACAAAATAACCCAGCATCTAAAGAATTGCCCTTTGCCTTTTTTCGCCTTAATAAATAACATCATCGTTTAAAAACTGGATTGAAAACTTGCATTGATTCGGGTAATCTTTAGTATTTAAAATTAGTAAGTGTGACACATATGCAAGAATTAAAAAAAAAGATTTATTCTTTTTTTAACTAGGAAGAGGACAGATACGGTGGTGCAACACACACACACACACACACACACACACACGCACACAGCCGGGTTTGACTTTGATTGTATCTGTTTGATTGTGTGCCTGTTAGTTTCAGATGCAGCTAGAGCCGAGCTCTGGTCAGTGAAAACAGCAGAAATGATTTGTTGACTATTGCACATGCCGAATTATGGCTTCATTCAACACTGACTGAATTATATTGCTAAAGAAAATCTTTAAAAATCTACTAAACTAAACAGATGTATAAACGGGTGTTTTTGATTTCCTACCTGCCTGTTAAAGTCTGTTTTTCCATCGTAGTGAGTATACCTGTGTGCAGCGTGCACTGCCTGCATGCATGTAGAGGAAACATCGCCACCTCCCGGGGAAATCCTGCAACTGCAACTCAAGATGCTTTACATTAGACCCCCGAATTTCCTTTATATTTAATTTCTTTATATCAGTTAAAAACAAAACACAGTATGTGTTATGTTGAAGGGGTTTTAAGTGAACTTTTAAAAAAGTAAAGAAGTCTCTCTGCTTCAGGTGACATTAACAGTGTTTTTCATACTAAACAGCCAAGAGCATAATGTGTAGTTTACCTACGCTCATCAACATGGTGCTGGTTGCCAGTTGGAGATGTAAGTGCTGTACTTTGCTTAAATGTTAACTGTTTTGCTCATTGATAGCTACATGTCAGAAGCTCGTCTGCCCTCTTGTGGTCAACAGGAATTAAAGCAGCTTATGCATGAACGTATGCATGAACTGCTTCTGAATATTTTGGTGAACTGGGCCTGGAAACTGAAGCCAAGGTGAAACACCTGCATTCTTTCTAATGGCCAGCAGGGTTCGACTTTTCTGGTAATAAAAAAAAGTCAGAATATAAAGAAATTTTGGAAAGCAATGACCTCAGTAAACACTTTCCCGGTGAGTGTATGGTCTCAGTCGTTAACTTCAGGAATTACTAAATAAGATGTTTATTTTGTAAATTAGGGACCTGATTAGAATTAGAAGAACAATAAATAGATCACTCCTTTTTGATTGACAAGTGTCTGCTCCATGAGCATGAAGTGTTGCTCGTTTCTTGGGGCTTAATTATACTCATGAACATGAAAAGCTGGAGCTTTTTTCTGCTTGAAGTCCGCTACCATTGATGGTGCACTGTAATTTCTTTTAACCACAAATCACACTGACAGATACACATACAAAGTCAATTTTAAATGCTTGTGAACGTAAACTTTTCCAATAATCATTCCAAATAAAAAGCTTTTTTTTCTCCCTGCTTGTTTTCAAAAGACAAGCAGCTTGTTGCATGAAGAAACGTTTTCAGTGGTTTCAGAAAAATGTGTATAAAATTTAAAGCACAATCAAAAAGTGATTAAAACTGGTGTGGATTAACATTCATTACACTCTGTCTGATACTTCCATATAAAAGGGGAATGGTTCAGTGCAAACTGATGTGGGGTGGGTATCATTTTTATCATTACACCAGCATGACTTTATAAAACATTCACAGCTTAACTCAAGAAAAAACGTTCAAACAGTTAATAAAAGTTTATTTAATCAAAAGTGAAAGTACTTAAGTTAATTTCATACTTTTTTGTACATCATTTATTGGCTGGCAAAACCATTAATCTGGCAGTATGAGAGTAGAGAGGTGGATAGTTTGTAACCATAAATGGAAACAAAAAGAAATATCACATGGTATTATCATATGTGTGTTTCTTTTTTAAACATCACAATTATCGTTGTGCTGACACTTGTCAGTAAGTATAATGTTATCTCAACAACTATCAGATAAACAGGAGTGCTACAATATTTTCATTTGATGTCAAAGTGTGGAACTAAAGCATGTTTTTCATGTCTTTGTTATTTAGGCAAATTTATCAGATGGTGAGTTTGGAGGTTTGGGAATCAAATTACACAATTTGATTCAATTTGTTGTGTGTTTTAAAAGCTGTTCCAGTATTGGCCGCCTAAATTTTAAATGCTGCTCAAAGAAATTAAGGGAATATTTGATCATAGGTATATAACACAAAGTTTGTCAGACTTCAGGGAATCAATCTGCCCAGTTAGGTTAAGCCAGAGTCCCTGTGCTGTCTGTCGCATGTGCTCAGTATGAACCTGCTTTCTCTGTTTAGAGAGCACAGTGTGAGTTCCTGCCAGTTCTGGTGTTTTCTGGCAAATGCCAATCAAGCTTTGAGAGGGCTGTGAGCACAGGTCCCATCATGGACTCTGTTTTTAACAGAACCCTGTGAAAGTATGTAGCTGGAGGTCACTTTGTAGGGCTCTGTTCCTCCACTTACTCCTGCTGCTGGTTTAACGCCCTTCTACGGCCCTGTCCAGCTCTCCTCAAGCAAAATCCTCTTGTATCTCATCCTTATTCTTGAGACTGTGCAGAGGGACACGGGAAAACCTACGGATGCGCAATGCTGCAGGAGCTGGCTTACCTGTCCAACCTGAACAGTCTGCAGGTACTGTCTCACCCTACCAGCAGTGACATGGACACCAGCGACAGTTTTTGTTGTCTTGTTGTTGCTTCTCCAGTTCGACTGTTATCAGTTGGATTTGAACCAAAGCAGGTGAAACAGATTCACCATAGTTTCTGATTTTGTGTTCCCTTTGTTTATTTGAACAGCATATTAATTTATCACAATTATGTCAGAAAATAACATTTACACTAAGTATAATTAAATGAGAAGAATTTGTAAAAATGCATGAAAAGCATCACATTAAAAACACGTCAGATTTCTTTTAGCAGTGTCTGATGGGTTTTAGTGTGTGTGTGTGTGTGTGTGGGGGGGGGGGGCATTATTTTTAAAGTCCTTCTGTAAGTGCTGTACTTTAAGATTTTACTTCTCTGCAGAAGTCACTCACCTTAAACTCTCTTACACCATTTTTTTAATGCTATGCAGCACTTTCACTTCTTATATTAACCCTTAAGCTTTTGTTCAGTTTGTTGCAGTAAATGAAAGGCCTGCTGTGTCCATGCCGGGCCTCCTCCTCCTCTTCTCTTCCTCCCTCTGAGAATGGGGAGCAGGAATGTGTGATGGGCCGGGTGCATGCAGGCCGGTGATAGGGCCTGCCTGTGCTGCTCTGTCTTTGGCTCAAAAAGTTCAAGTCATTATTCTCCTCCTGCTGCTATTCAGCCGAGGTCCCGTTAGCTCATTGTTATTCTTCCCCAGTGAGAGAGTGAGACAGAGAGAGGCTGATACAGAATGGGAGGCTGACTCTGGTTTCCAACGGCAGGGAGCTGGGTGTACTGGTGTTGGCGGTGGTTTTCTGGACGGTTTTTGCGTGCATGAAGGCATGTCTGTAATCGGCTCAGTAATGAGGAAAGGTACTGAACGGCACTGAATATCTGACCCCGATTCCTGGGAGTAAAGGGAGGCAGAGAGGGGAGAGTGGGAAACTGTGTGTGTGTGTGTGTGAGAGAGAGAGAGAGAGAGGGAGGCAAAAAGAGAGAGGGGCATGTGAAAAGGGGTGGAGGGGAGCTGAGATTTAGTGCTCTGCTGGATGAAACAACCCCCCACTAACTAACGGAGAGGGAAAGTAGCCTAATAGGAAGAAAAGAGGGGGTGTAAAACTGTTCATTAAACACTCAAAGACGCGGAGGAAGCCTTTATCGTTTCCAACAATGAGCCCAGAAAAGGTATGTAACTTTTTTTAATTTAAGTAGCTGAATTATTTGTTACTGTTACACAGATGAAGCTGAGAGATCAACAGGTAGCTGTTACTGTTACTGGTACTGGCAACAAAGTGCTTTTGTTAAACTTTGGGAGGGGGGGGAACTCCACTGTGCAACCGATTTGTTCATATTTGTAGTTTAAACACAGTTTGCATAAATTTCTCTTTGCAATTACAGGAATCTGCCTGTGCTTTACTGATTCAAAAGGCTCCTGCCTTTGATGTGGCTGTTGAAATGAGAGGAGATGGTGTGGAAGAAAAAGGTTAATGTGGCACTGGAGTATGGAGTGCCGCTTAAGCTGCGGCATTAACTGCCGTTAAGAGAAATCTCGGGGCATAAATGCATGACTGTCTTCCAGACTGTCTTCTTCACCCTAAAAACAAACAAAACTGAGTTCATTCCTGAAGTTTTGGTGATGACATGAGGTTTGCAACTATAAAATGTTATAAAATACCAATCAAAACTTCTTAATGCTCAATTTTGTCCTAAACCCACCAAATTTTAAAATAAGTTGTTTTTTTTCCTTTTATCAATGACTTCAGAGAAACTGATGGTGATTGACTACACCGCTTTATTTATTTATTTGCTGCTTTAAGTGTTTGCATCCAAAGGAATTTAAAGAGGCTAAACCACATGAATGCACCTTCTGTATCAGTTCCCCAACCACCTGCAGACTTTTCCTGTTGCATCCTGAAACAAACAGGACTTTATTTGTTAGAACTAAAACTCACCATGCTACAATATGCACATGAAATGCTTCTGAAGAAGAATGTGCAAACTAAATTAGAAAAGGCAAAAAAAAGAAAAGAAAGCAAGTTCCCATTTCTCTGTCTTTCTCCTGCACAACAACACACTATCACCACCACCCCCCAACTAGCCTGAGAAATTACAGACTACACCCGGGTGGCCCTAATGAGCAAGAGCCTGGATATGTTTTCTTTGTGTCATACACTATTAGTTGATCTGGGTCAACGTTTTCACTGTAATCACATCGTGAAAACAAAGAGGGGCTGCATAGGAAAAAAGAAGCGGAGTGAGTCTTTTGCCACCAAATCCAGACTGGAAATCTTTTGAGCCCCCTGAGAAATTCCCCCTCCGTTAGTGCTCCTCTCTGCCGAGGAAACACTGTTGTTGCATGTTTGTTCAGAGCTCTGACACCTGTGACTCAGACTGGAGGAGCCCATTGTTCTTATCTGAACTGCTGTAACTGGTCCTGAGTGCAAATCTAGGAGAAATATTTGGGCTGTAATGCTGTGAAGCGATAATGTAGAAACTGGCAGCTGGAGCACAGGCGGGACCCATGTGGAAATAACACCGCTTCCCTCAGACGAAACCCAAGATGATCCTCCACGCTTGTTGCTGTGGTGCAGTGGCCTTAAAAGTCTGCTTGCTCACTTAAATCACACACTTTTATTCCAAATAGCACCAAACGCTTAAATACAAGACTTCCTTTTACTGTGAAGTTTTGGGATTTTATGCTTCATGTTCTGGAGCTTCTCCAAATCTCGTATAATAACACTTATTGGCTTCAGTGAATTCACCATTTAATTCGATGGGTATCGGCTTATATCAGAATACAATCAGCCTATCTGGAAATAAGTTGACCTTTACTGATGTCAGTGGCTGAAGTTTATCTTTTGTGTCACATCAATTTTGCACTGGCTAGATGCTCTAATTTAGTGTGATGAAGAACTTAAAGACTTAAAAAGTTACTGCTGTATTCTTTGTCTGTTAAATGTAGGTAGAGGCCAAACATCGGTATGGGTCCATCTCTGAGTGGTTTGCCTATAAAGTCGGGCTGCTCAGTTATGAAAAAGCCTGAATATTCTAGTAAACATGGAGAACACAATGTGGATGTGTTGTTGTTCATTTTCAAGCCTTTTTAAAAGTAAAAGTTCTTTAATTTTATGTCTTTTAACTGAAAAACCAGAATGAAGAATGTGAGCTTAACTAAACATGACACAGGAATTCAAGATTTTATGGAGGCATTAAAATCTGTGTAAAGAAAAAGAGCTGACCTGGATTTACAAGTGAAACCTGAAAAATGTGATTAATTGCCCAGCTCTACTAAGCGAGAAATAACAGTAGTTGTCTTCACATATGCACTTCAGGCCTGAACTTTTATGGTCTTTAACCTGCCAGACTTTAACTGCAAAGGGGGTCTGAACAGCAGGAGTGCAGCGTCCTGCACCCTCACAGGCTGCTGATCCACCAAAAACCAAGCACAGTGTTTCCAGTAGTGTGAATGCATCTGAAGGTAACCACTCATTTCTATGTGAAAATGAGCTAGTGTGGAGTCTTTAAATTAACATTTTTCTCTAATAATCAGCCCCCAAACCCAAATATCTTCAGCTTAGTATCAATTAGGATAAAGAAAAGAAGTAAATACTGGTTTGGCATAATCAGACATTAAAAGTCTTTAACGTCTCCCCTTTGCAGGTAAAGGTAATAGCTCCTGGTTTTGTTTGCGATTGTGATGAAATATAAGTGTATTTATCTTTATCTGCTTTTTTTTTTCTTTTGTTAGGATATCGGGATCTTGTGTGAAGCTTAGAGACGTGAGCAGCGGGTCAAAATCACACCACGATCACACGCGGCGAAAGCGGACACACAAGAGAAGAAAAAAATGTCTCGAACCGAAGAGGTCAACAAGATGACTGAAAATGTCTACAAGGTAAAAATCCCATGTCTGTCCGGCTCATCCTAATAGTGACTCCCCACACACTGTGTGATAATCGGAAATGTGGAAGCACTTTATGAATTTACATGCACTGTTGCCAACAGGGGATTCTGGACCATTTCAACCCCAGTCTGAAGAACTTTGTGACCATGGGGAAACACTATGAGAAAGCTCTGACAGGTTGGTGAGGACACAGTGACTCAGGTCCTGCTGAACTTTGATTTATCCTCACAGCTCCATATGTAATCATTTTTTTCCCTTCCTCAGGAGTGACCATAGCTGCCAAAGGATACTTCGATGCTCTTGTGAAACTCGGAGAGCTGGCGAGCGACAGCCAAGGCTCCAAGGAGCTCGGTGAGTGGGCGTAGAGTGGTAGAGAGGCAAGGGTTTGAATTGAATTGGCTTTAGAGCTAATGGAATTCATAGAGTTAATGTGGCAGCTGGTGAGAAGTGGGAAATAGTCTGTGAGTCGACCACATGTGCTGGTCAGAGAGGAGATGAAGACAAGAGGGGATGAGGAAATGTAAAGAGAGAGAAAGGCAGAGAACAGAGGGACATGGAGAGAGTAGAGCCATTGTTGGGAGATTAACAACACCACATGATCTCATTGTAATGCTGAAAGCAGCGGGGGAGGCAGGCAGGAGTGTCGGAGGGCGAGATGCCAGCCACCACATACTACAGCACTGTGTGACCGACGGAAGCACTCACAGCTGACCGCCACTGTGAATCAGAAGCAGCGACTTTCAGCACATTTCTCTGCTTTGTTGGGGTTGTTGTGCATATTTATACATGTTTATACTGTGAGGGGCTATTATAAGCGCATGGATACTGCTGCAGAGGGTAAAGGTGACACAAATAAATCCAGCAAAGTGGTTTTCTGTTTAAGTAACATGTGCCTTCACTGCTGTGCTGCTCCTCACAGGAGACACCCTGTTTCAGATGGCCGAGGTCCACAGACAGATTCAGGTGCAGCTGGAAGATGTGGTAAGAGGCCATCAGCATGCTCAAATAATGATGCCTTGATAGGCAAGTGTTTCATTTATAACAAGCTTTTAAAAATTGTGTGTTTGAAGTGAATCAAACATAAATAAGGGTCCAGAAAGTGAAAAAACAGCTTGTCTAAAATCTCATTCTTGGCAGGCTTTGCTTTAATAAATCTGCTGCCAGGTTTGTCCGTATGAACAGAATCATATCTGAGAAAGATCCTCTGAGAATCAGCTGATTTTTTAATGTAAAAGAACTTTATTATACTTAATGGAGCCATGCAAGAGCCATGCTTACTGCACACACCAGGCCCTGGTGTGTGCAGTAAGCTTATAAAGAGATAAAGCTAATATTGAGCTTGAGTTCAGCTAATTGGTGCAGCCCTCCACAACAGTCAAATTTTCTCATGTGGCCCCTGGGGAAAATTAATTGCCCACCCCTGGTCCAAGGTATCACATAAAATATGTGAACAACGGTTTTGTTTCTCCATGTCAAAGGTGTGAGCTATTGGAAAATATTAAACCATGACTATATTACTAAATGTGTACACAGACGAAAAAAGACGAGCCTGGTATTAAAATGTAGGTAAATAAATGTGTTTTTTGACCAGTCACCTCACTCCTATTTTATATGACCCATGAAACCTTTCTATAGTAAAAGATCTAAAAAAAATTTTTTAAAAAGCAGATGAAAACATCCAGGGTATGGGTGCTTGTTGCTATACACAGGGGTGTCAAACATAAGGTCCGGGGAACAAAGTCAGCCCGGCAAAGACTTCAACGGCTTTGGACAGCTTTGAAAAATCAGAAGGATCAGACACAGATTTTAGACTTTTAATTGTATATTGTTACAGCTTTTTGTACTGATAAAGACCTCCCTCATGGCCATTCATGCTACCCAGAAGAAAATAAGTAGTAAATAAACATTTAAATAACAGAAAAGTCAGCAGTTTAAAAAAAAAGTGCAGATTTTCTAATTACACATTTTTTTAATTCTGCACATTTTGCTCTTAAAGAGTCATGCTGACCTTTTTTTGTTACTACAGCAGCATTTCTTTATCATATAGAAATTAATCTTAGACTCGCTGTTGAAATCCTACTTCTTTTTCTTAGCTTAATATATTTCGGGGATTAAGTGTGTAATCAAACTTCTTTTACACTGACAGAAAGGGGAGTTGCATTGGTCCGGCCCACAATATCATAGGAGTTTGGGATATCTGCTCTACAGGAAACTAGGATAAGTTAGATATAAAAGATATAAAAACTCAATGTCTAAAACCAAGATTTTGGCTTTTGTCATGGGTGTTGGTGGTTTTTAAAAAGTGTCCCTTTCATGAACATATGGAGTTATAAGGGATGAAAAATGCAGGTAAAAATAAAATGAATAAAAAAATTAGAAACCCGTATACTTTGAGGGTCTGTAAATTAATGATGAAGATTAAACTTGTTCTGTGGCTTTATTAAATATATTAAAGTTGCTCTCTGATTCAGAGGGTATCAGTCATGAGCTCTCCACTGCAGGAAGATTTGACACACATTCTGATATATCAGTGAACTTTAAATGTTTGACAAGACTCATTTACTTATGTCACAGTTAAAGCTGTTTCACTCCGAGCTGCTCGCCCAGTTGGAGCAGAAGCTGGAGCTGGACATCAAATACCTCACGGTAAGTCCACACACCGACTACAGTATACAGTATATTACATTAAAAGTGACTAACTTAGGTAATTAACTAAAGTGCATTTATTCTACTTTTAAGATATGTGGGATTTTATTCTTTATTTGCCTTTGATTGACATAGAAAGTAAAGAAAGAAAACGTTACATGTTGCAACAAAGATGCCAGAAATCTTGATAAAATAAAGTAAAATGAATGAATGGGTTTTGTTAAATCTCTACTTAAATATAAAATGCAATTTTGATCAAATCCTTGACTTTCCTCTCAGGCCACCCTCAAAAAGTATCAGAGCGAGCGACGGTCTAAAACTGAGTCAATCGAGCGCTGTCAGTCCCAGCTGAAGAAACTCCGCAGGAAGAGCCAAGGCAGCCGTCACCCCAACAAATACGGTGACAGAGAGATGCAGGTAACAGAGGTTTAACATCTCATCATCTTCAGTAATGTTAAAAAATGAGCACGAAAAACACTTTGGCCTCTTTCATTTCAGAAATCCTTCTTCTAAACATCTCGGTCAGCATTACAGCAGATTAAAAAGGAGAGCTGTGTGTGCATTTGTGTGACAACTAGGCCAGCGTGAATAAGATTAAAGAACAATCGGGTTCAGCTGATTTGTCAGAAAAACAAGCAGGAAGGAAAGAAAATATCAGTGATATAAGAGGGTCAGCAGATTTGGAGAATTACGAAAATGAAAGACCAGAAATACATAAGAAGGAAAGGTCACTGAGCCGAGGAGGCTGTTTTATCACTTGGATTTTGTTATCACTGGGCAACAGACAGGATGTGATGTAAGGTACTCCTTCGGGCTCTTTGTTATTCCCATCTTTACACAGCGTATTAAAGGTCACATTATCTTTGAGCGCCGTGTGAGCAACAATAAATGCAGGTGTGCGCGTGCATTAACAAATGTTCAGCTTCGCAGGTTTGAAATTTTGGGCTTTTCCTTCAGTTCGTGGAGCTGATGAGCCGTCGCCAAGGCGAGCTGGACACGCTGGTGGCCTCAGGTTACAAGTCCGCTCTCACCGAGGAGAGGAGACGCTACTGCTTCCTGGTGGACAGACAGTGCTGTGTCACCAAACTGCTCATTAACTACCACTCCAAGGTGATAAGCTCACACGTGTTAAGTTTGTGAATGTTTCCTTTCATCGAATCCAGTGAAAACTAACAATTTACTCCTGACAGCCGTGTGTGTGTTTGATCAGTGTGATAGAGCTTCTTTCTCGCTGCTATACATCTTAACTGGTTCAAAGTCAGCAGATAATTTCTGTCATTGAAATAAACAACAAATCATGCTGCAAATATTCACCAGATCCAAGAACGTGTACTGATGCTCAGTCTTGTTAACTGAGCATGCGTGTTGTTCCAGAAATTATTTAATGATGAAACTGTATATCTCGTTTCTGACGAAGCTGAAAGGCAAGAGTTGATAAAGAGATTAGTTTGCAGTAAAAATAAATGTAGTAAGATTAGTGTTATAAATGTCTTATCCTTTGTTTTTCTGCTGTTGAATGTAATCCAGGTGAGAGAGCTTCTATCCCAGAAACTGTCATCTTGGCAGCAGTCGTGCTCTCAGCCAACAAAGCTCCCGGAGCGTGCTCTGAACCTGCTGCGCCACACTGCGCCTCAAAGCCCAGGGGCTGCTGGGATAGCTGAGGTCCTTCGTCACACCAAGCTTGGCACCGCTCAGCCCGAGCAGGTCAGATCATGTTTTAGTACAAGTGTGTGTTAAATCCAAAGTCACGCCCAACAACCCAGTTTATACAGACCTTACTGTGGCTAAAAATCATCCTCTGCCCTTATAATATTAGACATGTAAGGTTTTTTTTGTGAGGATCTTCTTTGTTAGCTCACTACACTTAGGTCTGTAAATTTCTGGACAATAGGAAAAAGCCTTTCACAACTTTAGCTAAGTCAATAACACTCTCAAGGAGATGGGCCCATCATTGTCAGGGTCTGCAATCGAGCCTTCACAAATGGAAGTCCAGAGGGTTTATAACACGCTGCAAACCACTGGTTACACTGAGAAAAAGGAAGGCCAGATTACACTTTACCTGAAACCATCTGAAAGACTGTCTGGAATTCGTTGGGCACATGATTTCAAGTTGAACTTGTACGAGAATGATGTGAAGAGAAAAATATGGAGAAGGAGAGAAACCGTTAACAAGTCATAGCAAACAACATTATGTGTAAAACATGGTGAAGGTAATGTCACGGTGTGGGCATGCATGGTCACCAGTGTAACTGTGTCACTGGTGTTTGTGATGATGTGACTACTGATGATGGGATGATGGACTCATTCTGCTTCTGAACACCCAGAAGGTTTTTAGAGTTGCCTCAGACATCATCAAACAGCAGCGGTATCAGCTACAGAGAAACTGTTATCAGCACCTCTGCGTATGTAGAGGCTTTTGTCCTCATCCTCTTTTTCTCTGAACATTACAAAGAGCAGATTTAACTCCTCCTTTTGGACCCAGAAGAATCCAGTTTTTCACTTGTAATGTAAAAAGTTTCTCTGTGAATCTGTGAGGGTCTGCACGACAATCATGTGATCATTCCTCTCAACTTAACTCAAGGGATTCTGGTGCTAATATTTTTTAAGCTAATTTTGAAAAAGACAAATTAAAAGAAGTCACTGTGAGGGATTAAAACATCCTGCATGCAGCTCACAGTTTAATAAGTCATTCAGGACACCAGAATTTTAACAATGGCCCGTATTGTCTGGTAGTTACTGTGATCTGCTCTTGATTTTCAGAGGCTCTCTGTTCAAGAAGTCCCTCCTCTGTTAAACGGAGACTCTAGTCGCTCCCAGCAACAGCGCTCGCTCCCCTCCTCCACCCAGAGTGACACCTGTCCTCCTCAGGGCTCTACCCAGACATTCCTCTCTGCTCCCTCCACCGGAGGAGCTGCTGGAGGTTCATCGCAGGGAGCATCTCCTCAGCACAGCAGCACACCTGTCAGTGCTTCAGCCAGCCCGCTCCCTGACAGCAGCACCAGTGGCAGCACCAGCCCGGCTCCATCTACTCCCACCACCACATCCAGTAGCTCAGCCCAGCAGACCTCGCTTCTCCTCGCCGCAAACACATCTAACCTGTCCCCGAGCCTCATCCCCTCCACCGTGATGTCGCTCAGCCAGATCTCCCCGGCCAGCAGCTCCTCGCAGGGCATGACCCTCCCCATCACCCACAGTGCACCTCACAGCCCTCCTCTGCCCCACAGCGCTCCGCTCTCTAGGGCCATGACTCCAGTGCAGCTTCTGCACCAACAGGTGGAACCAGGAGGGAGCAGCACTTTATCTCCGTCACATAATCCGTGGCTGCTGAAGACCTCAGAGATGAGCGCCACTGCAACACTTCCACTGCCGAGGAGACCTGTCAGTGAAATGAGGCTGGGAGGCTTTCAGGGTGAGATATGATCTGGCTCACCTGCTGTTTTTTTGGATGTCTTCTTCCCCGACACTTACTCCTCATTTCTTATTTTATTCCTCCACCTAGGCTCGAGTCTTCCCAGGATGATGCCTTTATCTGGACCTACACGTGTGGAAGCCATGTTTTCTCACACACCTGGAACATCAGATGGCAGTGGAGGAACCACAGTGGGAGGAGCATGCTTACTGCACTTCCTGCCTGGTGACAATATCACTCTGCTCATCTCTGAGCCCAGAGATGGGTGGCACTACGGTCAAAACGAACGAACGGGACGGTATGGTTTATCCATATTTTCATCCTGATTCATATTTTTGAGGGGGCCTTAAAACGTTTAATGTCACTATTGTGCTCAAAATAAAAAAAGACTGCATTAAATAAGGTCAGACAAGGATTTATAAACTGTCTCCAGCTGGTAGCTTGTGTTTCTGTAAATAAAACAAAGCAAGCACACCATGTGTACTTTGTTCATTTAGTCTCCCAATCAGAATTAGAGCTGCTAAATTTTGAAATGACCAAACCTTTCGGTGGTTGAAAAAAACTAAATGGGTTAATTAAGCAACCAATAACCACACAGGCTCTGCCAGCCCTAGTGCCCATCGTTGCATGCAAGTGCTGGCACCATTGGATTCTTTGACTTTAAAAATGTATATTTAGCATTTAAAACAAAGAATCAATTTAATGTAGAACGAGAAATATAATGAAAAGAGTTTAACGGGAGCAATAAAATCAAAGAGGAAAGTGTTATAGGTTAGCTGGCTTGACAAAACCTAATTTACCAGATGTCGATAACAGGTGGTTATCAGTCTTTTATCTTGAGTTAGGCCTTCTGCTTCAGGCTCTGAGTGTGCTCACATTCTCACAAAATGATCCCTATGAGCCAGTCAGTATCAGCTGATGATGATAAAATGGTGATATAATCTATAAAAAAAACTAAAAAATATAAGAGTTTAATGCAACACTGTTGCAAATAGGACAAGAAATTGATGTTGCAAAAAAATGTTAATCCTGGGATTTATTGCACAGTCGGTAAAATAAACATTTTGATTCAAGTTAATTATTTTACTACACAGTGCCGTCTCATATCTGTTGTTCATTTCTAACATGAGTTAACACCTTAAAATGGATACGTTTATACTAATTAAAAGTTGAAAAAGAGGTTTTTGATCTCTGACAAACTAAAGCAATTTACATGTCTCCTTTATGTAATGATAACTTATAATATATATAAACCTTTACTTAGCCAGGAAGATCCCATTAAGATTAAAGTGCAAATAATTTAAATGGGTGTCCTTACTTTGGGTTCTGTGTTCTAGTAGCTGCAATTCCAGCAGTATAAAGGAGACTTGGCAGTAGATTAGAATAAAGTACAGCAACATTTCTGCATCACCAAATGAATGCATGCATGCTCACATTTGCACTGCTATAACTTTACTGTAGAAATAAGTTACCATGGTGATTTCATCAGGTGAAATGAGAGCCCCTTTGAAGACACAGCAAACTCTCACTTTACGCTCAACATAGCTCACGAAAATGTTAATCTCGCTTTGTAGTTAACTTGAATAAAAAAGCAAATGAAAACAACGTTGCTTTTTTTCTTATAGAATACTTATAGAATAATATTTATACACATGCCTACATTGTAAATGTGACTAAAAGGACATTCAATAACGGAGCAAATGAACAGTCCTGTCTTCTGTGGCCTTTTCTACAACATCGCTCCCACTAACGTCGTGCTCCTTTCTTGATACTACATTAAAGAAAACTTCTCTCTGGTACCAAATTATACCCTTACTTTATTAAGTTTTCTTCACACAGTCTCTGACATTTCTTGCTTCTTTAAATTTCAACTTTATTGATTCAACCGGTGAAATGTTTTTTCACAGGAAAGGCTGGTTTCCTTTCTCTTACACTCAGCCACATCATACCAAGATGGATCTTCTCGAGAGGTAAGCGAGCAAATAACAGCTGCTGAAATCTGTTGGTCTGAAGGCTAACAGCTCTGACATTAGTGATGATGCTTCCATAGTTTGGGTGATTCACACTTGATGGAGTCATTTTCAGGCTGAATCCTTTGTGACTCTCTCCACTTTCCCATCCATGTATTCTCAGTCACTAAATACACATTTCATGCCATCATAATCATCCTGTCTGCCTTCAGCATCCCCACCACCCTCTCTCAACTTACTCTTTTTTCCAACAGCAACAAAGTTGTTGATAGATTCACACAAAAACCAACATTTGCCTACTCTCATTGTGCCTCCTTTATCTTTTTTCCACTGTGTATTTGTTCCTCTCTGTGACCTTCCCTGTAGCTCACTCTTCTTATCTAGAGCTAACAGCACCAGTACCGGGCAACTTGACAAACTAGGTTCTCCGGGTCTCCCGGCCCTCACCCCTGAGTCGGAGGAGGAACGCTCCCTTCCTCCCCAGAGGGTCAGCACCTTCCGCCCGCGCCCCTACAGCATGGCCGACAGCAACAAGGTCAGAAACACGAAACCTGTGGGAGAAGCTCAAGGGTTAGAGTGAGGGCGTCCTCACAGTTGACCCTGACTTTTAAAGTAGCAGATACTACTGCTTTCTAATAATTCAGTACAAATACCGACGCGCATCTCTACTGACTTACAGATCACCTCAGAGTTGGCCTCCCCACCTCCCTCACCGACCAGGTAACTTACAGGTGCTAATCAAGGGAAATTGTGCATTTTTACTTGTCATTGCCCATTCACTGAAAATACTACACAGTCTATAAACTACCTCTGAATAAATTCAGACTTCTGCACCTAATTCTGGTTGTTTATGTTTGGTTGGCACATCAATTTTTTTTCATATTGTGTTTGTTTTTGCACTTGCATCAGTGCAAGACTGTGATGAGTCCAATCTGATGGTGGACACATAAAAAAATTGTATCAGCTGCCCAAAATATAATAATAACCATAGCAGGCATGAACAAGTCAGAAGTGAGCACTAAGTCCTGCAGTGTCAATGTCTCTGTAAAGCTGCTATCACAGCATGTCTAACTTAGAAAAGTATAATCCTAAATTCTTCACATGCCCATGTAATCACCAGTTTAAGTTACATATTTATCGCTTCCTTCTTTCAGGCCCAATCCATTTTCACATGTCCGACTCCGAAAAACCGTCACCAACGATCGCTCAGCTCCCATCATCGAGTGAGCTGTTTATTCCCACCGCAGCAGCAGCAGCAGCAGCAGCAGCAGCAGCAGCAGCAGCAACAGCAGCAGCAGCGTTCCTCTGTGGTTCATCAGTACATTGCACCTCAGGTTGAATCCTGGAAAGAAGCACACTGGCTAATGTTAATGTTTTACTTTTAAATGTAATATTCTGTGTGTTTCATGTATAAAGGCTGTTATAAACATGAGTACAGCCGACTGGATTTGTAGGTTGCTGGGGGAGAAGAGACAATTGTAACATGTGAGAAACTGCTTTAGTGAAGTGTTGGCTTTAATATAAAAACTAGATGTTTAGATGTTTAGCTTCATGTTTGTCACACTGTGTCCGGTTTGTCCTGAATAACTAACATGCTTTAGTTTGAATTATGACAGATACAGTTGTTTCTTTTACTGTTTTAAAGAGTTTCTTTTCTCCCTTTTTGGTTATTTTTGTGCCATATTCAGAGATGTTTTCTGTGTTCAGCTGATTTAGGGACTGGATCCTAATAGCAGGTTGTGCACATTGACTATGATGAAGTATTATGGGAAGAGGACAGGCTCCTTCTCTATTACAGTATTATATTTTTTAGAAAAGCTGCCAGATCTGGTGCATTTTCTTGGTGCCGGTGAAAGTGAGCATTTAAAAGTATTAAAAGTGTGTGTGTGTGTTTTTGTTTTTTCATTTTATTTTAACACAGTGATTGTCTGGATGAGCTACTTGACATTAATGAAACTGGCACAATGACTTATGTTTATGTCATGTTTTAGTTTCTGAACATGAGCGATGTTGTTTGAAGGCACAAGTCTGTCAGATACATCCTGTTGTGCCACTTAACACCATTCATTCTGCTGCTGTAAAGTTACATGTATAATACAGAGCAACTCTGACAACACAAAGAAAACTCGTAAACTTCACAGACACAAACTGTAAAAGTTGGTAGTTGAATGTTTGGATAGTGGTATCACCGAAAGAAGTGTTTTGTTTGAAAGTAGGATGTCATGGAGGGTTCAAAGTCTTAAGAATGAGAGATTTGCATGCTTAGTCTTTGGATTTGATGTCTTTTTGATTTCTTTTCAGTCCCAAAGCTATTCACCAGCTAGGCTGCTTAATTGTAGTTGTACGTCCATCAGTCAGACTAAGCAGAATCTTAAAGTGATGTATGGATGCTAAGACAGATGATGATTAGGTTTTTACTGAGAAACTGTATCTGTGAAAGTGATGAAGAAAGTATACAGGAAGTTGACCAACGTCTGAGCAAGTGTTCATGGTAATCTACAGACATCCAAAGTAATTTTTTTGTAGCTCTGTCCTCTTTGTTGCCTCTAACAAAGTGAAATCTGTGCAAACTGAAGCAGTTCATGTTCCTGGTTTAACTGCCTCAAGTTACTTTGATGTTTTAGCACCTTTTAGATTCATAATATCACCTGAAAAGCTTGTAGAAAAAAATATCTATCAGCATATATTGTAATCACTTTGTGTAGCGTTGCTTCATTAATAAAGATGACAGCAAAATGCTTTTAATGCATGTAAATAGTGCCAAAAATTGTGTGAATTTATGATTTCTTTGTAAAAAATTTCACTTTGGTAGAACATTTGGGCTTTGTGGTAATACAGAGCAAACATCTGGAAAGTGCACAGCCGCTGGTAGAGAAATTCAGTCTTCAGCTCAGAGTGACTTACACAGAATGAGATACAATTGGTACAGAGTTTACACGCCTGAGTGTGAGTTTAGATACACAATGTCACTAATTCAAGTTGAATTTAACCTTTAAAAAGCAAATTATTTAGTCACAAATACATTTAAAGTAAGGAGGAGAGTTCTGAAAGAATTGCATGTGAGATTAAACTCATTAAAAAATGTGAGTGTTACAACAATAATGTAAAATGAACAGATAACGTTATTTAAGTTTCAAACCTACACTCATTGCCACTTATGGTACACCTGTTCAGGTGCTTGTTAGTGCAAATATCTCATCAGCCAATCACATGTCAGCAACTAAGTACATTTAGGAATGCAGACATGATCAAAAGGACCTCCTGAAGTTCAAACCGAACATCCGAATGGGGAAAAAAGATGATTTAAGGGACTTTGAACGTGGCATGACTGTTGGTACCACAGTGCTCTGTACATTTCACAAACTGCTGATCTGTGGGGTTTACAGAGGATGGTCTGAAAATATCCAGTGAGCATCAGTTCTCTGCGTGAAAATGGCCAGACTCCTTTAAGCTGATAGTCAGGCAACAATAACTCAAATAACCACTACAACTGAGGTATGTAGAAGAGCATCTCTGTATCCACAAGACATCAAACCTAGAAGCTACAGCAGCAGAAGACCACACTGGGTGCCACTCCTGTGAGGAAAATAAGGTTACAGTATGCACAGGCCCACCACAAGTTAGACAATATGGTATTTGAAGAATATTATCTGGCCATGATAGAAACTGTGAGGTTTTTCTGCAACTTGTTGAAACTATGCCACAAAAGCTCTGAAAGAAAGCAAAAGGGGATCCAACCTGGTACAAGCACAGTGTACCTAATGAAGTGGTTAGTAGTTCCCCTGCACTTTAAATCAAAGCTGAACAACATAGGCCAGAGCTGTCCTGTCACAACTCAAACACAAATTCAGAACACTTCTGTTAAAATTGAAATGTTGTTCGACATTAGACACATTTATTTATACACTTTATCTACAGAAAACAATGCATCTATTCAGACACTACTGAATATAACACTACTATGAAGATGAATATTTCAGAGGAACAGACTTTATCTGGACTACTAATGCTTACATGTGAAATAAAAGGTCTATGAAACAAGCTTTTGCATGATTTGTAAAACTGAGATTTCTGCAGAGAACACACAGCATAACGTTATATTGTTATTTAGTATATTCAACCTTTGTACAGGTGAGAAGAAATAGGAAATATTGAAAGATATTTTACAACCTACTTCCTCGTGTTTTCACTAAAAAAAAAACAAACAAAAAAAACACAGGGGTATCCACTATAGGTTTCTTGCTGTGCTGTTCTGCATATTGTTCTGACACCTTAATGAGGGGTGCGAGCAGAATTAAAGCTGGTATGAAAAGATTTTTTTATACCAGCCTTGATCTGATTACAGCTTCTTATTTTTAAACTAAGCCACCTCTGAAGGATCAGAACTGTGTTGAAGCTTAGTTTCAAAACAAAAATCTTAACCCTGAGTAACTTTTAACTGAGAAAAAAACTGTTTCACATGTATGTATGTTTGAGAGGTAAAGGTGTAGATCAAACTTAAAGCAACTTAAACTGTGACTGATCAACTCTGCTTCGATTTCACAGCAAAATACGTATTAATGCTGTTACTGATTACAGGCTTGGTTATTAATTAATTCAACAGAACCACTTAGACACTGTTGCTATAGTTTGCACATCATTAACCTAAATGCACTGAAATAATACAGATGAAACAAAAGTAGAATTAAATAGAATCTTTATTGTTGGACACAGACATTGGAGGCAACTATTTAGACAGATATTAACATGAGAAAGTCTGAAGTTATAGATTTTTGATCCAATCCAAGTTTCTTCCTTTTGGTTCACGTGGATGAGCCGGAATGTCGGGCATGTTTCCATCATCTCGCACGGGAACTGTGAAGAGAAAATAAGGTAGGAGTTTTAGGATGCTGAAACGTCAGCTTTCAATTACACTCGAACCTGCTGTGACGTAAAGATTGCCAGTGTTTACCTGGGTAGTTGTACGGCACAGCTGTGTTCAACATTGCTGTATATTTTGTAAGTGGGCTGATGAACGGAAGAATGGCACCTGAGAAAAGACATTTGAACACATATGGCATTACACTCACAGTTCACTGTGCCTCTATAGGTCAATTGAGAATAATTGAATCACTGCACAAGGTGCACACTCATACAGAACATAATAAACACAGATAGCAACTACTCTGACTTGCATGTCTTTAAGTGTCAATATAAAGTTACTCATTTAAAATGTGCCAGGATCTTAATTGTTGGACACAGACATTGGAGCGAGTAATCTTGCACAATTATTCAAATAATGTAAAGTAAAAAGGCGTACTGGAGGCGCGGCAACAACTGGTAACCATATGCACTTCGAAGTTAACATCTACTTTTTATCTGACTTCGTCAAACTCATCCACATAGCTGCTATTTTGCTGATTTATGAAAATTCAGACCAAAAGATTTTGGAGCCCTCTGACCAAAACCCATTTGATGTTAACTTGTCCGGCATTTTGGTTTCATTTCATTAAGAAACTGTATACACACTCCTCCCTCATTGAATTGCTTTGATTAGGTTCTTTAGCTTACTAATTTTCTCCAGTTTGAAACGAAATAATAATGCAGAAGAAGTGATTTCATGTTAGTTTTCACAACAAATTCCTCCATGACTCAAACATCCACAAATCTACTACTGTGGAATCAGCAAAGACGCTTCAAATCGCTGGTTGTTGAATAACACGAGTAACCAAAGCCAACTGTCTGCAGTACATGAAGCAGAGTAACATAATAGGCGGGCAGATGGTGATGCCAAGTTAGGCGAGATTTTAGAGTCAAGCTGCCAAATAGTTTCTTAAATACACTGCTGGAAAGTTCATGGACAATGACACTGTTATTTTCTGATTATAACCTAATTTGATATTGGCCACAAAAATTCAGTAAACTCTGTATTGTGTTGTTAAATAATGTATTTATATCGAACTTTTCTACACCTACTTACCACACAAAGCACTTCAATCTACAAGTTACATGTTATCCAAATAGCACTGTATTCCATAAACTTTAAGCATATATCTGCCCCACATCCACGGCCAGTTTCAAACCACCAACATGCATAAAAGTTTCAACTGTGAGAGGACACTGGAACACAGCAAGGCTTGCTGGTGAAGTACACCATTGTGCCACCTCTATACAAGCAATGTAGGATCGCCCGATGCCACTCTCTCTCGTTTGCAGGTGGTTCAAAATGCAGCTGCTCGACTCTTAACTTGTACAAAGAAAAGGCAGAATATCAGATCTGTTTTAATCCATAGATTACCTCCACAATATATTACAGATCTTTTAACTCCAGGTCACTGAGGTCATCATCACAACAAATTCTCTCATAAAAATTAAAAGTGATTGGGTTTTTTCTGTGTTTGCCCCCTGGCTCTGGAATAGTCTGCTACCCCACATAAGAAGCTGTTCAACAATAAACTGTTTTAAATCAGGTCAACTTTAAATTGCTTTTTGTCAAGTGTAAGGTGACTCGTGGATTTTAATTGGGTTCTTGAGACCTGGATTACAAGTGACTGTGCCTTTAAAGCACTTCGGTCAACTTCTGTTGTTTTAACACGTGCAATAGAAATAAAAGGACTTGACACACAAAGACTACAACGTGCTTATTTGTTTTCTTTATTCGGTCTTTCCATGCTGGACATATAAATTGTATACTCAGTTAAATTAAACTGAACACAAGACAGCTACGCTGATGTAAGTCTAAGACAGCGGATTATTGTGAGACGTATAGCTAGCAATCTTCTGATTAATATTTCATGTTGCCACACTGTCATTCATCGGCGTTGCAGAACTGCCATTGTATGTTATTTAACGCTATGCTCTCTCGCTGCACCACTCTCTCACAGATTTCTAACAGGTTGGCTACTTACCAACCAGTCCAATTCCACAAGAAGCCATGATAACCGGCTCCTTGTTCCACGCATTCCTCAGGAAAGCTCCGATTCCTGCAGACAGAAACCCACGGGCAGGTTAAAAACCGCACCGAGTGACAGGCTACGTATGGTTAACCAATGCTAGCTAACGTTAGCAACACATCCAAGGTCACATTTTTCGTTTTATTTCGAACGAATACATCAGAACTAAAGTACTTCTAAGATCCGGTTAGAGTAATTTTAAATATATAAGGTATTTATCTGTACTACCCGAGGGTCCAAGTAAACCGAATTTCACTGATTAGAAGTCAAAAAGATGACAAAATATACACATACCCGCCATATTGTCTGGTGTAGTTTCCACCGAGCGAGTTTTCATGGGAAATGTAGTGACTGCTAAAAATGACGTATAATTCCTGCGCCCGCCGCACGAAAACAGAGAGAGGGAAACAGTGGATCCCTGGAAGCTTCGGGATTGATTTAAGTCAGCTATCATGCTATTAAACGGCCTTAGCTAAAGCTAAACAGAGAAAACGACACTGTACGGAGCTTGTGCTCAGGTTGATGATGACACTGGTCGAAGTGTCGCTTTAAACACACGTTAAAAACATCGTTTCGGGACTAACAAATGTAAGTACTATTAGACTAATGGATTGTTTTAGTACTAAACAATAATCAGGCGTGGTGACATCAGAAGTCTAAAACACGGGAAATTCTTGATTTGAACTTTTCCCCAGTGTTCAGCCGTTTTTACTCCACTGGGAACCCCGACCACTATATCAGGCTTTTACTGACTCACAAACAGCTGTTGAGTTACTGTAATTACTATCCAGATCTCAGCATCGCGCAGTAAAATAGTAGATTTAAATTTTGTGTT